CTTTGTTTTAATTAAATACAGTTACTTCCGGAAATACGTCATTTTCAAAACTTCCGCTCCCATGGTCCACCTTGTATATTTAATTTTAATATACCTTCATTAAATAACTTTACAGTGACCGAAAGTATTCCTATTATTAAGGGATTCTGTCTTTGTTGCCCCTACTGAGGACTCTTTTGTAGATCTGCAGATTTCGCGGGCTAGATGAGTTTGGTCAAACTGGATGATACAATTTCAGGCTATAGATTTTAATCAAGTAATCTACGTACAAATATTTTGGCATATTGATGAAAGTAATCAATGGTATATGATTGGTGAGTGGCCGCATCGTCTGAAGCCGGCTTAACAAATAATAAAAATAACTGTTATCAAAGGTCTCTTAGGAGAACGGTTACATTTTAGTTCGACTGTGTCAACACCATTGTCCAAAATATCTAATAATAGAAACTTTCCTACATTTAGTAAATAAATATTGACCCTGAAGTGTTACTGTTACTGTTTCATAAAAAAACAACGATTGTATAAAAAAGTAATTAACCTTAACTGGTTCTAGCTCTCTCAGTCTACGTAGATGATATACTTACAAGTACAATTATCTCGCATTGCTGTTATTACTTGTCTTAATTTCAAACAACCTTCATGGCTGTCTAGTTTCGAAAGAGAACGCTCCCAGTGCAGGTGCAGTAGAGGAGAAATTGCTGCAGATTACCACAAGTGATTATTTATAATGTCTACGAACGAATAACGTAGGATCTGATAATAATTGCATGTATATGTTAATAGATGTCAATTAGATGATGAGTACATACAAGTAATGTTATTGAAAAACTACCATGCAGAAATATGTTGATAATTACAACCATACAGGAAATGTATTAATAGTGTAACTACAGAGTGTAACAGCAATGCGACAAACTATCAGGTTTGGTTCGTCTTGCCAAAAAAAGAACATAAAAAGATGAGTAATACTTTTGATGAGTTCTTTAATCCTTAGATTAGATTAGAAGTGAACCACAGTTTTTGATGATGAATATTAAAGACATAGGTTTCAATTTAAGGTACAGTTAGTAAAGTAGATATACAGGGTGTTCCGCCTAAGAGGGATTCTTCTGTAACTCTGCAACTGTAAAACTTATAAAAAAAATGGTTCTAATAAAATTTGCCTGGAATCCTGTGGGCCATGTAAAGAAAATATTTACATTTATTAATCTTACGAGTTGAATTTTTTTTTTCAAATGGGATGACCCACATTAATTGTCATGAATGAATGCAAAATTGAATGCCCTTTCGACTGATATAAGAGGCTTTTTTCGCGAGTGAAGTCGTATGTTGTAGTATGTGTAGTATGAGTGAATATTACGTTTTTGCGAGAATAATCAGTCATTTCAACTACTATGTGACGTCACAAGTTTAGATCAAATAACTGAACTCTTCACCCTTCAGCTGAATATTCTGTTGGTATATTCAACTAGTATCGTCAGACGGTAACTTAACCTTTTTCTTTTTGACATTTTGTTTGAATGAGGATAAAAATCGTTCAGCAAAATGATGGATTCTGATACGGCTGTGGAAATGGTCAGTTTAAATTTAAACTTTAGAGGCACAGATGTTTTAGTAAACGTAGACGTTGAAACTGCAAATATTTTACTTAATGGTCGTAAGATTAATTTTTTATATGGGACGTATTTGAGATCCACTTTACTTCAGGATTCTCCTCTTTTTTTTGTGACCTAGGCCAGATATAATATTGGTTGAATCATTTGTAATTCAGGTCTTTTTCATATGAATTACATAAAAAACCGACCTAACCTCTTTCTAGTTTAATTTTTTTTTTATAAAAATTTTATTAAAAATAAAGAGCATGTCACAATTTCTGTTTTGTAGCCATTGACATAAATGACCAAATTCCATTCTCTAACGATAACGATTATGTCGAATATCACATATCTTGCAACATCAGAATCTACATACTTTTCGCGCTTTTTAAATTTGCCACTTAAAAATATTCCAAAGAAAGCATTGATATATTCCTTCAGTTTTATTTGAAGCAAATACATATATAGTGAGATAACACCAATTCCCACAACACTAGATTACTGGAAGCAATAAAGGATGACAAATTATGGTTACTGGTTAGAAGTTAGAACCCATATGTCAAAGTTGTCAAAGTACATATGACAAGCTGCAGTGGCTGCACCACTGAATAGTGGATATATACATTTTCGCGATCTGTTCAGGTTAGACAAGGTTAGAAATAAGATTAAAAGAGATAGAAACAGTAACTACAAGTCAGACGTATTCACCAATATTCACTCGCGAAAAAAAGCCTAAGGTTGTCCATACTTTTCTCTAACAGTTTTCCAGGAAAATCAGGTTCTTTTCTAAAGTCCGTAAAAGTAGCTATGTAACAGCGTCAAGAAGGCCTTGGAAAACCAATTTTCTCTCATATTTTATCAAGACTGGGACTGACAGTGTTAATATTTACTGGCATGTTTAAAAAGTGGTTTGACAAACAAAAGTAAACCATTAATAATAACTAAAACAAAACGAAACAAACTGAAACACAAGGAGAAGAATATTTAGATCGCTGATTTACATCAATTGCGCGAAGTGTCCTCCATTTTGATTAATATACAGACGAATTTGGTTTTTAAAAGACAGTTCAATATTGGTCAGCATGTCTGGCGTAATTTCTTGAAATACTACTGTAATGTGCTGCCACATATCTTCTGCGGTAGTTGGTGGTGTAACGTAAACTTCGCTTTTTATAAATCCCCATAAAAAGAAGTCGCAACTTGTCATATCTGGACTCCTTGAAGACCAACACACTGGTCCCCCGCGCCCAATCCATCTGTTGGGAAAAGTTTCGTGTAAAAACTGACGAACCGCAGCGGTATTGTGAGATGGAGCACCTTCATGTTTCATCCACATTTATCGAAGTGTAGCTAAAGGAATGTCGCCTAACAAATCTTCTAGAGTGTTTGTTAAAAAGTTTAAATAAACAGCTCCAGTTAGATGCTGGTCAGAAAAGAATGGTCCAGTGACATGGGTTGTCCGGAATTGGTGAGGATTTACTGTGTCATAATAATGGCAATTATGACTATTAACGAAACCATTTTTATGAAAAGTAAAATCATCATCTTGATTTAACATCTCAAGTGCCCACTGACAAAACTCCAGTCTCGGCTGAAAGTCTACTTTTAGTAACTCTTTGTGTAATTGGACGCGATAAGAATGTGCTGTGCTGTGCTTTTGTAAAATCCTATGTATCGACGTTATATTAATAAAATTGCAAGGCCTTATTGACACTGTTACTACTACTACTTTTTCAGACATTAGAAAATAATCTGATTTTTCTGGAAAACTGTTAGAGATAAGTATGGACAACCTTATATCAGTTGAAAGGGCATTCAATTTTGCATTCACCCATGACAATTAATATGGGTCATTCCTTTTGAAAAAAAATTTTTTTCAACTCTTCAAGATTATTAAATGTAGGTTTCAGTATTTGCGAGTATGAATAACGTACACGTTTTGCTCACAGATGACAAGATAGAGTAATTTATGCCAAAACGAACTCTGAAAACTGCAGGTTTCTAACTCTTACGGTTTAGACGCTATCTAGCCTCATTTAGAGAGCTGAAAACGTGATTTTTTTTCAAAAACAACTGATCATCTCGAAAAAGATAAGTTTTAAACATCATGTACATTTAATAAACTCTACCGAATATTAATCAAGGAATTCAAATAATACCCAATAATATACAGGGTGTTCCATTCAAAATAACAAAGTTATGTAGCTGCCACGCGAAATGGAACACCCTGTAAAGTTAAACATGATTGGTCGTTGTCTCCTTCAAAGTACTTCCCTCCCTATTCACAAACTTTCGCCAGCGGTGTTTCCTGGATAGCTTGAAATGACCTTTAAAGATTGTGACGTGCAAAAGCCATGAGTTATCTCGCCACAACTCTGGTCTCTCTTTGCGGATTTTTTCACGTAACCGTTGTAAGACGCCTTGATAGTACACACGGTTCACTGTTTCACCTTGAGGCAAGAATTCAAAATGTAAATTCCATTAAAGCTGAAAAAAAAAAATCGTGAGCATCACTTTGACATTAGATCGAGACTGACAGACTTTCTTGGGGCGGAGATTCTTTGCCAATTCATTGTGATGACTGAACTTTTGTCTCAATGTCGTCTCCCGTTATGTTCCTTTGCACATGTTTCATTGTCATTGGATTCTTCGAGTAGTTACCGACAAACGTCCACGCAATTTTTCTTCTATTGGTCGGTCATCAAACAAGGAACATATTTTGCAAATGAGATGCTAACCTCATCTGCAATTTCTCTAACAGCCAATCGGTAATTTGCACGCACCAGTTCTTTGACTTTCTGAACGTGGAAATCCTCAGTTGAAGTCGAAGGCCTTCCTGGTCAAGGGTCATCTTCAATTGACCGACAATCACTTTTAAATCGTAAAAACCATTCGTAACATTGCGTACGACCCAGATCATCTACTACCATAAATATGTTTGTTATATTTAAGCCTCAGCATAGAGAAGCAGAACAGTATTGTCGGCGTTTGTAACAGAACTAGAAATTTACTAGGATTTAAATAATATATTTATTTATAAAAAATTACATCCAAGGTCATAATGATCCGTAGAAAAAGTTTAAAAAGGAATATTATGTTGATATTTCTACAGAATATTAACATGTGTTAAAGCTGCAATATGCTCAATAGATATTGATAAACGCAAATTTGAATCAACGGATGAAGATTATTGACTTTTTTAACTGGTAGGATAGACTAAATCCACAACTAAAACTCAGAAACAGGCGGATTTTTTTTTGGGCGTAGGGGGGCAGGAACAAACCCTTTAAATAATGCGCTGGTGTATGGCCGGCCCATGATTTAACTTTTGCTCCCATCATTTCCTTTATCTCTAAATTAATCTCTAGACCTAAAATGTCAGCTAATAACCATCTTCTTTTGCAGGAGTTCCTAGCTGCAGTCCAAACTGGCTCTTCAGACTTACGCAAGGTGCTGCGGTCTAGCGAGACGGGCCGCACGTTAGTCTCTACGGGTCCGAGGGTAGTTCACGAATCGCAGAAAAGTAATAAAGTAACCGACACCGAGGAGACTAGAGAACTCAGTTCGGTACTCCCGGATGGAAAAATTGTCACCGAAACTCAACGCACCACCGAACACGAGGAGGTCAGGGACGACGAGCTGCCGGAGGGTTCTCCCGATCAGGACCTTCAGAAGGAAAGTTCGGAAAGGTAAATTCTAGCACATCTTCAATTAATGATTCTGTTTAAAACAACTACCACAAGTGCTGTATTCTCCGATTGGCGATGAATTACACCGTCAGTATCTAGTAAATAGCTAAGGTCCTTCATCAAGAGAGTCATCAGACACAGATCAGTTTCGAACTTATTAGTCCTCACCAGTATGCCGTAGGTGAGAGGATCGGATTGTATATCTGCTCATGCGTTGAACGTGAATGATATATCCTGTAGATCATATGCCATATGCATTATGACTTTATGTCTACTGGAACATTGACTATTGACACAAAGTGACTTACTAATATGTAGGCGCTATGCTTGAAAAGCTTATTCCGACTATTGCGATATTAGTCATGATTCCATAGCACTTACAGATTAGTATGTCACTTTGTTCCAAGCAACGCTTTATGTTAGTATGCATTCGAGTATTCATGACCGTGTCGAACTTAATAATTTGAATAGGCTAAATTAATAATAAAAATTATTCGTATTCGTAAATCTGATCTTGAAACCCAACTAGTATTCTATTTTTACTGATTTTTTTTACACTTTCTTCAAAATGCGTAAGTTTTAATTCTTAAAATATTGCCTAAATTCGTTGTTTTTAACTATAACATGCTGTACACTTAAAAACACAAATTAAAACAGGTTTGGCTCATTCATTCTAACCTGGCCTCAGGAATCTTCCATTGTATCGGGATCTTAATGAAACACCATGTGCAGTGTGTCCCCGGAAGGGGTACCGCTCTCTTGGAAACTTTTTTATTGTTGATTTTTCGAGAAAGAGTTATTCTCGATAAAAAGTTTTGCTTATCTTGGAAAGCCATGGGCAGTAATCAAATATATAATAAAACATACAGGGCGTCCAAAATATTTCAAAATGTCAAATTTGCCCTAAGCGAAGTGTCTTTCGTTTTCGCTAAAACGTGTATCTAACAAAGTTGTTAGAGAACTCAAGCTCTCTTCCTCGGAAGTAATTCGTTTTCGAGTTTTTGAAACGGGCGATATCTTTTTGAAATATCAAAAAAACCTAAACCGACGAAGTGGCAATCAACCCGGAAATTGTTCTACCAAGCTATTTTTATATAATATTAAATTTAAAATAAAGGTTTACTTATTTTTTACAATTTCTGTCTGCGTTAAGTAAGATAGCTAAAAATCGCGTCTTATTATTTGCAAAATGTGACTATTCTTTTTTGACTAAACCCTACATTTAAGTATTTTTTGAACTCTCGAACAACTTTGTTACAGTTTTTAACGAAAACAAAAATTAAAAGCACTCTGCTTAGGGAAAATTGAACATTTTAAATTTTTTTAGACGCCCTGAATGTTTTATTTAATATTTGATTACTGCCCATCATTTCCAAAGATAAGAAAACTTTTTATCAAGAACAACTTTTTCTCGAGAAATCCACTATAAAAGAGTTTACAAGAGTGCGGATCCCCATCTGCGAACACACTGTATATATTTATACTATTATACAGGGTGTCCCGTTCATGTTTCAAAAAACGTGTGTGCGAGTTCCTCATGGTAAAATAATGGGGATAGTTCATGTAACTTTTTTTCTTAGATGCCTTGTTTTCGAGATACAGTGTGTTCAAGTTGTTACTAGCCATATGATTTTCCTTAATTATCTTTAAATCGGCTAAAGATAAAAATGTCAAAATTTGTATACGAGTAAACATCAACTGTGCGTTAAAAATAATGTGCAAACGGCTTCTTTCTGAAAAGCAGTGTCACCGATACAGGTAATTGGATGGGAACAATTAAAAAAAAAATATGTTAAAAGTCAAAATTTATTATATTTCTAAACGGTTCTGTAAACTCTAAAGCATACTACAAAAAAGGTATCCTTGTCGAAATTCGGTAGCATGTACTATTTTCGAGAAAAATGAAGTTGCATTTTTTTGCTCACATAAAGCGGCATAATAAAATATTAAATTGAAAGAGGACTTTACCATTGAATGAACTGAAGACATTTAGCTACCAACAGTATTTGCATTCAAGATTATAATTTTAATTTCTTACATATCACAAGAAACAGTTAAATTGTAAAACATTTTATTAACTAAAAAAAAAAATTGAAATTTATTTTAAGTTTCAGATTGTTGTAAGGATAGACTAGCAAACTCTGATTTAATTTTAAATTCTGTGAAGTTTTTATTTTCTTGCGTTCATTCTGTAGTTTGTTATGGATTTTTACCTAAAACAGAGTTATTCCAATTGCAGTGCCATATGTATTGTTACATTATTTGCAAATTGTAAGAAATAACTACGTCCATAATTCTCATACCTTCTATAATGTAACAATGCAAGTATATTTGTATGCATTACACGTTCTATTCTCCATTTTCAGTTCTGTTGATCTTTTAAGGTAACAAAATGCATTCTTAAAAATGTATTGTACTTTCAGTATCTAGAAGTCTGTCACTGTTAGCGCTTGTTAACATCTGTGATTAAAAAACTAACAATTGAAGACATTATGCGGCAACACTGAAAAGTTATATTCAATACATCGCACCTTGTACATGACCTTAGCTTATGGTCTACATTAATTAGAGACCAATTATAATTTAAAGATCAAAGTTTTTCTTGTTGTTAAGGTTATTAAAGTCCATGTAACGGTCACGGTAGCAGCTATTTGACGACAACGACTTTTACGTTTATATAAACCAAACTGACGGATATTTTCAGGTATCTGAAAACCAGAGACCAAGAAGATGTCGATTACGTAGCTGACGGTGTAAATATAGGACACGAAATGAGGTTCAAAACGGAAACTATGGAAGTGGAGCGCCGCGGGGATGGGGTGGATGAGCCAGATTTTTTCGAATCTCTCTCGACTAGGGCCAAAAGAAGGGTTAACAACAGACAGCAGCCGCACAGATACAGAGGTAATCTTTTTTTAATTAAATCAGTGTAAAGGTGAATACAGGGTGCTTCATAATTGGATGTCAATATTGAAGGGTGTTAATCTGTGCGTGATTTTAAGACAAAAAGTTCATATAAACATAGGTCCGTTTTCGCTTTATTTTTGATATACAGGGTGATGAATATCTGTTTGTAAAATTGTTTTTTTTTAATAACTCCGAAACTAAATTAGATAGTTTTATAAAACTTAGTATGTGTAAACTAGGTGCAGAGACACGTCTTTTGCATAATAAACGAATTTTCATTTTTAACCAGTGGCGTCCCAATTAACTTCAACCTCATTATTTTGAATGAAAAAAATGATACGCCACTGCATTTTTGAAAAACAAAAATTATTGTATAAATGGTGCTTTATTTTGTAATAAAAAAGATCTCTTGAGTTTTTTTCTTATCTTGCACTGTTTTTTAGTAAAAAAATAAAGAACAACAATAATTATCTGTACGTGGAATGAAGTACTTTTTACACATTTTATGGAAATAATTCTTTTACTAGATAACTTATACACATTATTGTATAATATTATTAATAATTACGATTGACGATCAACAAATAACAATTTTGTGAAACGAAAAAAACAAACAATTACATCAGTTGTTGAAAATGCCCTCCACCTGCAAGGATACATGCTTCAGCTCTTCTTCTCATATTAGTGCGGACTCTTTGAAAAATGTTGTCAGTGTTCCTTATTACATCACAGGAAGCTCTTATGCGATTCCTCAGGTCTTCTACAGTGTTAACCGGAGTGTTGTAAACCAGAGTTTTCAGATGCCCCCATAAGAAGAAGTCCGCACTATTCAAATCTGGGGACCTGGGGGGCCATTGTTGGGGTCCACCACGGCCTACCCATCGGTCATGAAATGTGCGATTTAAATATTCTCTTGCTTCTCGATGGAAATGAGCTGGTGCACCATCATGCATGAACCACATTCTATTTCTAGTTAAAAGTGGCACTTCTTCAAGTAATACGGGCAAATCCTCCTCTAGAAACCGACGATATGTACGGCCGTCTAGCCTTTGTGGCAGAAAAAAAGGTCCAATTAAGTGATTTTCAACAATTCCAACCCAAACATTCACGGAAAATTGTTCTTGATTGTTAAAGTTCACAATTGCATGCGGGTTTTCTTCGGCCCAAACATGATTGTTATGGAAATTTCTTATAGCGTTTCTAGAGAAGTTAGCTTCGTCTGTAAACATTATTTCACAGTCAAACAAGGGATTTTGCGCAATTTTCTCCAAAAACCATTGACAAAAGTTGATTCGCAAAGGAAAATCTCGAGGAAGTAAGGCTTGGACCCGTTGAATATGATACGGGTATAACAGAAAATCGTGAAGAATTCTCCAAACTAGAATGTGCGAGATATTCAAGTTATTTCCAATTTGTCTAGTGCTAATATTAGGATTTTCATCAATTGAATTTAAAACTGCTTCTTCAACTTCTGGAGTTCTAGTAGTCCGATGGGCACCTTTTAATTGATTATTTGGCTTAAAAGTACCTGTTTCAGCCAACGTTCTATGTATGTTTGAGAATGTTCGTCTATCTGGTGTGACTCTATTCGGGAAACGCTCTTGATATAATCGTTTAGCCTCTGGCGCTCTGCCATCAGCCAAGCCATACATGTAATGAATGTCTGCCAACTCTTGATTAGTAAACTCAACCATTATCAAATAACACTGTACAGGTATTTTAAGTATCAAAATTGAGTTGAATGAACTGAACTGTCAAAATTAATAAATCACAACAGTAATCAACAACCACAGCCTACTAGGTAATCTTTATATCATGCTTTCTGTTTGGCTCAATGTGGGTTAGTATGTTGTTCTTTATTTTTTTACTAAAAAACAGTGCAAGATAAGAAAAAAACTCAAGAGATCTTTTTTATTACAAAATAAAGCACCATTTATACAATAATTTTTGTTTTTCAAAAATGCAGTGGCGTATCATTTTTTTCATTCAAAATAATGAGGTTGAAGTTAATTGGGACGCCACTGGTTAAAAATGAAAATTCGTTTATTATGCAAAAGACGTGTCTCTGCACCTAGTTTACACATACTAAGTTTTATAAAACTATCTAATTTAGTTTCGGAGTTATTAAAAAAAAACAATTTTACAAACAGATATTCATCACCCTGTATATCAAAAATAAAGCGAAAACGGACCTATGTTTATATGAACTTTTTGTCTTAAAATCACGCACAGATTAACACCCTTCAATATTGACATCCAATTATGAAACACCCTGTATAATCGGTCAATCTAGATAACTAGTGAGACTTGAAGAAACTCAAAATCGATACTTTTTAGGATAGCAGATTGATTTACTGTCATTATTTTTTTGAAAATATATGTGTATAATTTTATGATTTTATTTTTTTTTATATTTAGAAAAAAAAACGTACACATTATATTTTCATTAAAAATAATATATCCTTCAGATCTAAAAAATAAGATTCTCTAAATAAAAATAAACAATTGCAACTTTTATTTAATATACCTACATGCGTATATAAGCCATGATTTAGCGATACCTTTAGTTTATTTATTAATGCATACCTAATGACTCTTATTTTACGATTTCGATTATACAGGGTGATTTATCAATAATGCGAAATCTTTAAACTAGAGATACTACACATCAAAATATGATGCTTGAGCTTAACATGCCTTATTGGCCATGGAAGTGAATTTATTTGGCCACCTAGAAATCCCGATTTAAGCTCTTTGAACTTCTCAATACGGCCACAAATGAAGGAATGGCTTACAAAGAAAATATTAATTCCGTTGAGGAGTTACGACAAAACATACAAAAAGCTGTAAATGCGATTAAAAATAATCGACACATTTTATGTAAAAGATCTTTAAGAACGCGTATTGCAAAGTGTACTGATGTGGAGAGCGGACATATTGAGTATTTACTCTGAAGTTTTCTTTTTTTTTCTGTTACTGATTGTTATTTGTTGTTGTTATCCCGCACACTTGTAATTTAAAAGAATAAAAATTCTATAGAAGCAAAATATATTGAACGTTTAAAATGCAAATAACTCAAAAACCGATATTAGATGAATTAAACAATAGTACATTTTCTGTGTAAAATTGAACTGCCTTTTAGATTTTTAACTCGCTTTAGCTATAGTCATTAGACAAAAAAATATGTTGTGACTTACTGAAGTACAACAGGGTGTAACTAACGCCTTGTACAGATAGCAGTAAATTTAGAACTATAGTGGTTTGGTCTTCAAGTGAGGAGAAAAACTCTAAGTAGCATGGAAAACTTTATTCTACTAATTTCACCGGTAACACGAGACACAACCGAGCAGGAACTAGGCTTCAAGACTTCTGGTTCGTGCCTCGAAAGATAGGATAGAGGAACGCACAAGGGAAAACCCCTGTGAATATAACAAAACTGAAAGCCCGGAAAGAAACCGCGTCATTCAATTGAGGAGACAGCCATAGCCGAGTGGCTTTTATTATAGTTATTATTGTTTTAATAGAAAAGTGAACAGTTTGCTAAGGCTTGACAGTGGCGGACCGTTATTTCCTATTTTATACCTTGTATAATTGCTCTCATACTTTAGTGTTTGAATTTGTAATAAATAGTGTCAAGTCATCGGTTTATTATTTCGATGGAGACAACTGAGCAAACCAACCCCTATGTCTCCCCCAAGTGTCTTCGACATACATAAGAGACCCTTCTATTCAGAAATATTATCAACCGAATGACGAACTAAGAATGGTACCAACTAGTAGTATTAAATTAATGTAAAAATTCCAAAACAAAATAAAAATCTACCAACTTTCTAATGTGTAATTTGTATTAAAGATTTTTAAGACACAACAGAAAAATTTCTTACTGAATGAACCAACCCAACCTTCAATTGCAGCAACGTAATAAATGAAGAAGACATTACTCGGTAACCTTTGAAATGTCTTTGTCTTTAATTCTTTCCGGTTGACGTAAATTGACCACCGATGGTTTCAATAAAACAATACATTGAAACTAATGACGTATTGTTTCTTGAAATAACCGCAGACGTTGTCTGAAAATTCGAACAAATAATTCCGCAAGAAGTTGGTTCAATTCAATGTTCTATCATAAAAATTTTACGCAAAATTACACTAGATTACTGGCCCCATACATATATCCGTGTAAAATTACACAAGCATGTAATCTTGTACATTTTGTACTTTTGTACATTTAATAAACCATTTAATATGTGAAGATGAAAATACCTAATCGGTTGAGCCAAAACAAATTTTCAGTGCATTCATTGCAGTGAATTTCAGTGCAAATTCATGCTTATTTCTATTAAAAATAGTAAAAACATATAAGAGTTGGAGTAATTTATTTTAAAATGTAACAATTCATCAAAAATCGAACACAAAAAGTAGGTTAAGAAGTGGGCTTATATGCAGAATTTTTGTCCAACATTTTAGAAAATCTAAGCAAGTTAGAAACAATATCTGGTCACTGTACCAGTTATGTAAGTGTATTTCAGGATATAAGTAAAGGAAAAAAGCATATTTTTACCTCGTATGTTTATCTCACGTGTTCTAAATTTTGCACGCAAGTTGAACATACAAAATATCGCATATGGCACTATAAATATAATCACACCCCGCAGAATGCTTTTAGGCAACACTTGCATTAATCACATTTATTTAGTGTTTTTTTACAAATTTGCTAGACAAAACAAGAAAGATACATGTTCTGATGTTTACATGTTCTCCGTAATCTTTCAATGCAAAAAAATAAAGGAAGTTGCTCTAGTTTGGTGTTACGCTTCCTAGATGGATCTACTTGTTTTATCATTGTTCTACTAAAAGTGCAATTTTTCTATAAAACACCAGCCTTAAGCCGTGTAATTACAGATTCCTTGTGTTAAAGAAATGGGACTTTTTTAATGCCACTTTTCATTTAGTGCTTCTCTTTCAAAATTGCATCAAAATTACTTAAAAAAGGTTTT